CATGAATATGTAAAGTTAACCTACAGTTTACAATTGCACAATGTAAAATATGAAAACCTGCAACCTTGGAGTACAACAAAACAGCCTAGCAATATAAACTGACCGTTATTGAAACACTATGCCAAGTGTTCTAATAATGCAACATCTTATTTCTAAATAAACCTCCAGAGCACTTAAACAAACACCATTTATTCAGCACAGGACTTATGATCAAGCTATCATTTTACAGCATGTACATATGCTACAAACACCACTGACTTCAGAACAGCATCATACAAAGAAGCTCTGTGATTGAGATGTGGTTGAATCATCAAGCCTGACCCCTACTGGTCTGAACTCACCCTGCACTGTGAAGAGGAAAACCAGCTGCACAAAGTCACCCAGGACAAACAGATTAACTCAGGTTCTGCCAGAATTTGTAAAGATAACAGCAAAAAACAGAGAACAATGAAAATATATGCAAATTAAAGCCACCAGGTATTTTGCCCTGCAGATTAAAATGATCAGGTGATTTAAGTAATGAGGATTATGGCTACACACTTAAAAATAAAGGCTCAGTGATTATTTGTAGCATATTAGATACATCAAAGACCCTTCTCTTATCAAGAACCATTTGTTTTTGCATAGAGTTCTTTAGTTTGCTAAACGTTCTTGAGGATTCATTATAGGTTCTTCAAATCAGTTTACTGTGTATCACGTGAATTAATTTTTATATTTAATTATACACCAGATTTATATTAAAAGGGAGTGTACATTATATTCAAGATTGTCTTATGCTCACCAAGACTAATTTAGTGATTTCCTGTGATGGCAAATCTGAATGTAAAGTTGAATAAAATACATGAATTTAATTTTGAATTTATAAATTGTGTCATTATTTTGTGTCATTGCTAATATATATATATATATATATATATATATATATATTCAACTTGATACTGTTCAGTCTCTTCTTCACTGATGACAAACGCTCCTTGAGCGCGTGTGACCGCGCGATTCAAGCAATGCTGAGAAGAACGATGGTGATGTCATGATGAAGTGTCGAGGATCAAAGCGGCCGCTCTAACAATATTTCCTTCTAAAGACTCGTTTTCTTCATTGCCCGTTAACGTCCTATTTTGTTATTAATGTTTGAAATGTTAAGATGATCTGCATGTACAGTTAGGTCCATATATATTTGGACACTGTCACAGTTTTCATCATTTTGGCTCTGTATGCCACCAGAATAGAATTAAAATGAAACAATCAAGATTAAATTGAAAGTGCAGACTTGAAGCTTTAATTCAAGGGGTTGAGCAAAAATATAACATAAATAGCTTAGGAATTACAACTATTTTTATACACAATCCCCCCATTTTCAGGGGCACAAATGTAATTGGACTAATAAATATAATCATAAATAAAATGTTCATTTTTAATATTTTGTTGAGAATCTGCAGGCAATGACTGCCTTAAGTCTGGACCTCATGGACTTCACCAGAGACTGGGTTTCTTCTTTGTGATGCTTTGCCAGGCCTTTACTGCGGCCGTTGCAGAATATTCCACTTTTTTACCTTCAAAACTCCTGGGTTGCTTTTGCTGTATGTTTGGAGTCATCGTTCATTTGTACTATGAAGCGCCGCTCAATCAGCTTTGCTGCATTTAACTGAATCTGGGCAGAGAGTATATCTCTATACACTGTGTGCTTTGGATCATGAGCTGTTCCAAGCCTTCTCCACACTTTTTTCTTCTCGTCGTTCTGGTACAGGTTGATCTTAATTTCAGCTGTCCAAAGAGTGCTTTTCCAGAAGTGCTCTGGCTTTTTTAGATGTTTTTTGGCAAAGTCTAATCTGGCCTTGTTTGCAGCTTGTGGTGAAGCCTCTGTATTTGCTCTGGTGAAGTCTTCTCTTGATCGTAGACTTTGACAGAGACACATCTGTCTCCTGGAGAGTGTTCTTCTCTTGGCTGATGTTGTGAAAGGGTTTTTCTTTACCACGGAGAGGATTCTCCGATCGTCCACCACTGTTTCCTCCGCCTCTGAAAATAATTTAGACTAATATCAGTTTGTAAAGACAAGCAAAAACCTGTTTACAGTAATGAAAAAATATAATAGAAGTCTGTGGGGAAAGTGTAGAGGACATTGTTGTAGTATTAAGGGTCATGTTATAGCTTTATAGAATATTTTGAATATATGTTCTATTTTGAATATGTGGTCTGTTTTAATTTTCATTTTAAATTTAGATGAGTTTGTTGTTTTTGCCATTGTTATTTATTTTTTTATATATATATCTATATATGAAGAGATCTGATGCAAAAGCCTAAGTGCCTTTTGAAATGTTCTTCTAAAATGAGCATTTTTCTCAGGCTCCTATGTGTAGGTTCAGTAATTTCACTTTAATGGCAATGAATAAGTTATTTTTATTGCCATTAAAGTGAAATAACAGAACATAAACAGGAGCCTAAGAAAAATGCTCATTAATTGAAATTAGTAATTGAGCATTTAAAATGTCTTGTATTTCTCTGCCAGGTCTTATAAAATGTCAGTGGTTTTCTAGAAAAAAAAAGAAAAAAAAACAAGACACTCTTCCAGCAGTGGTATTAAATAACAATAATTCTAATACTAATACTAATACTAATACTGATACTGATACTGATACTAATAAAGCTGTGTGGTACTGTATGCTTTGAAAAAAATTGTTCCCTGTTAACGGATGTACATATTTAAGTAAGCAATGGTTTTTGAACATTTTTAATTGCTTATTATGAATAATTTTAAACTTTTGTTTAGAATATATCTACTTCAAATTCCACTGAACTAATAAACCATCATACCCTTTTTCATACCATTTTCAAAATCCTATGTTTTGGAACTAAAGGAAAGCAACATATCTCTCTCTCTCTCTACACACACACACACACACCTCAAAATTGACCAATAAAATTATCCTATTCCATTTAGCAAAGTATCCAGCACTTTTATAAGCTCAGCACATTCATTTGGAAACACGGTTCTTCAAATCTTTTTCATTGGGTTCTGATTAAACACACTCATTAACAGGTAGCCGAAGGCAGCGGCCAGCCACATAATGGTTTAACTAAAGAGACGCATGAAAATACACATCTTATAATTACCCAGCGTGCTCCTATTCACACCTCACTAAGTCGAGTGACCGTCTAGCAACTCTTGGCTTTACTAAGCACCTGGCTGGCAGAACGATAGCAGAGGACAAGCAGTTTACTGGGCTAAATAGCTGCTTTTCTTCCTCAGAGTATTTGAGAATCTTATCGCTGGAATATCCCAAACTCCAATAGATAGCAAAGACGCAGTGGGAGCCTAGCGGACAGCTTAGAGGAAACGAAAACACATCCATCCACAGCTCTATCCTTCCTTTCTATTCCACTATTCTTCTGCCTGGAGATCAGCCACTCCAGAGATAATGGGGGGAGAGATTTGTATTTATAAAGAAGGAGAGAGAAACAGAGAAAGAGAGAGAGAGAGACAAAGACTGTGGCCACAGTCTCTGAATTCAGCTCGTTTATTTGAGTCTGAGCGTCCACACAGCACATTCACGCAATCATACTGTCAGACCACACATTTTCAATGGGCTGCTGAATTTCCATAAACTCAAAACTCACACAAACACAATATTGGAAATGCTTTCACAAATAGGGTAAATCAGTGTTCCATTATATTTTAAAGCAATGCATTTAGAGAGAGAATTTATATATATCCCACAATGCTGTTTACAGCATTTCTGTTATGAGAGTGTAAGTACCATTGTACTGTAAGTACCATTCAAAAAATGTTGTCGTCACTAATATTTTGTTATGCTTTTTTTTCTTTTTTGTTTCTTTTTTTTAAAGTATCTTATCAAAGCAGCATTTAATTTCATCAAGGCTGCATTTATAAAATACAGTAAGACATTTATATTATGAAATATTACCACAATTAAAAATATATACTGTATATTTTCTACTTGAATATATTTTGCAATGTAATTTATTCCTGTGATGTAAAGCTGCATTTTCAGCATCATTACTCCAGTCTTCAGTGTCACATGATCCAGAAATAATTCTAATATGCTGATTTGATGCTTTGTGCTGCGTAGTATTTTTGTGTAAACTGTGATTTTTGTTATTATTATGTGTGCTATTGTTAGTATGTGTGTTATTGTTATTATTATTTTATAGGGTTTTTATTGGCTTTTTTTTTTTTTAGGATTATTGAACAATAGTTTAAAAGAACAGAATTGATTTGAAATATAATTATTTTACAATATTTTATAAATATTTATTTGCAATTTAATGCATTCTTGTTGAATAAAAGCATTAATAAAAATAAAAAAATACTAAATCTTATTGACCGCAAAGCTAGCTTTATTTAGACTAAATCTAAAATCCTGTTACTTGAAACCCAATTATCCATTCTTAATGTTTTCATATATTTTAATACTACTTAATTTCATACTAATACGTCATACATATTTGAGACCATTTTTATTTGTATTTTGTATTCTATATGTATGGAAATATTCTCTCAGTAATGTGATCTCTCAGCAGTTCTGTGGATCCGAGATTGACCTTTAACATTGGAGCAAAATGACACACTGACAAAGAGAATCGATCTTACTACAACAGGTGTCTGGGCTGAAGTGTGAACATCACTTTCAAATGATTGCTTTATAATTTAACAACAAACATTTACACCAACACCTCTTAACATTTTACAATCCACTGTCATGAATTTTAACATAGCTCTCACCCATTGGCCCTGACTTGACCCAGTGACCTCTGGATGATGAAAATGGGGTGTGAAGCATCTCAAATGATTGGGACAGTTTTAACACCCTTACTGCATTTCCATTAATCTGACACTCTGTTCCAGCCTCCTAGATGCTCTGTGGCACTGCAGTATTTGTCAAGAGAACTCTGGGATACAATTGGCCTGACAGTCAGTTCTGACTGGCTAGAGAGGTGACAGAAGCGACAGCTCACGTGATAATGCTGAATGATTCTGGTACCTGTTTTGGTCAGAGGGCTGGAAAACAGCTGCTGCAGGAGTTTGTTCTCTGACGTCCTCAAAACCACCACAATATCTGCAGGAAGAGTGTCCCGGTTCTTCTCCAGAAAACCACTGACATTATACAGCACCTGACAGAGAGACACAAGACATTTCATTATTACACACTTTTACTTGTGAAACTGCAGGAAATCTTTATATTCTGATACAACAGGGATTGGTGTATTAATGCATTACTGCAATAGTAACTGTTTAACTACGATGTTGATTATATATACACTACAGTTAAAAGTATGGGGTCAGTAACATTTTTAACATTTTATTTTTTAAGAAAATATATTCAGCAATGATGCATTAAATTGATCAAAAGTAGCAGTAAAGATAATCAATCTGGTTACAAAAGATTTATATTTCAAACTCATTTTGTCCTAAAAACCTAATTTAACCTAAGAACCTTCAAAAGAACTGTAATGTGGGTTTTGGGTTTTGTTTGGGCGTCTGGAGCCGCCCTTAGAGGGGGGAATATGTAATGTGGGTTTTGGGTTTTGTTTCATGTTCATGTTTCCATGTCTTTTATTTTGTAGTTTGATTCATGCTGTTAGTGTCATGCTTCCCTTGCCCTCTTGTCTTCATGCCATTGGTTCCTCTGTTCTTTGTGTCATGTTCTGATTGGTTGTCCTAGTCATGTGTCTTGTTTCCCATTGGTTTGTTCATGTCATGTCCTTGTCTGCTATAACTAGACATCATGTTCCCATTGTGCGCGTGTCGTGTATTGATGTTGTAACCCGCTGTCGGTGAGTCTAGTCTGTTCATGCCTCGTCAAGTCTGTTTATGTCAAGTCGAGTCTGTTCATGCCTAGTCAAGTCAAGTCAAGTCTGTTCATGTCAAGTCAAGTCTGTTTTAGTCAAGTCTGTTTATGCCTCGTCAAGTCTGTTTTAGTCAAGTCTGTTCATGCCTCGTCAAGTCTGTTCTAGTCAAGTCTGTTCTAGTCAAGTCAAGTCTCGGATTATTGTTTGGATGTTTGGATCACCTTTGTAAATAAACTGCACTTGGGTTCACACTTCAACTCGCCTTCAGTGGATTGATCGTTACAAGAACCTATCACAGTTTCTAACAAATAAATCAATAAAAATAGTTATAAATTTTTTTTTATATTTCATAATATTATTAATATATTATTTTGATCAAATAAATGCAGTCTTGGTGAACATAAAAGACGTTTGCCACAAAAAAAACAAAAAAAAACAAAACACATGTCTCTAGGTTACGTATGTAACCCTAGTTCCCAGAGGGAACGAGACGCTGTGTTGAAACCCTTTGGGAACGCCTTCAGCGTGACCACGCTCTGAATCACTTGTGTAATCAGTCCAATGGATGGGCGAGACGTCACGGGCGGGGTGACGTAGAGACCAGGGAGCTTAAAAGCATGTGCGGTGGATACAGCGGCAGCTTCTGGTGGAATGAAGGAATCACTCGCAGGGATGCTGGAAGTATGGCAATGAGACACAGCATCTCGTTCCCTTGGTGAACTAGGGTTACATACGTAACCTAGAGACGTTCCCCTTCAGAAACTCGAGCTGCGTCGAAACGCTTTGGGAACGAGTATGCCCACGCTGCCAGATTTGCAAGTCCCTGCCTAGTGTGGAAGAGCACAGCTAAGGCGAGAGAAAAAGGAGCCAGGAGTGGCGCAAAATGCAGGTATAGAATCTGACAAGGAAACGGAGTGGATATCTCCAGCATCCTAAAGGCCAACTTCTGGAGGAGTGAGCCTTGACCCCCAAGGGAGAGGGAAGATCAGAGGACTCAAGGCTATGGATAGCATCCCGATCCACCACTTAGCATAAGCTTCTCCTGGCTGGAGGCCTCAGCCTCAGCGCACCATGGAGGAAACATGTAACTAGTGGGTCTCTCCCAAAAGACCGACCACAGAAAGGGCGTGGTAAGCAGCTAGGGCCGCCACAGAAACCTTCAAGGTGGAGTGGGATAACCCTGCGGAGAACCGTACCTGTAAGACCTCCAGCACTAAACCAACTGGGCAGTTAACTGGGTTGGCTGGCGGTTGCCGTGCCAAGTGAAGGTTCACTTCAAGGAGTACAGTTTCCTAGTGGAGGGAGCTCTGGACTGGAGTATGGTCTCAGCAACCTCAGTTGAGAGACCAGAACTTATGAGCTGTGCCCCCTCAGGGGCCACATCCACAGTTCCAAAAAGTCAGAGAGAGAGGAGATCCCTCCTGATGGAAATCTCCCACGGAGAGCCATCGAGAAGGGAAATCAGGTCCGAGAAGTGTACTAGGCCCGGCCAGACTGGGACTACCCATCCGGCGCACTCTCTCCAGAACTCCCGGGAGCCGAGTGAATGGGGCAGGCATACAGACGAAACCTCGGCCAAGTCTGTTTCCAGATAAGCTCCACCACCTCGGGGTTCTGGCAAGCGGAGGCCTCAATAACTCTCTGTAGCGAAAGGAGACCTGACGACACTCACAGAAATGGTCGAGCTCTTGGAGCAGAGGCATCAGCATGACAACTCTCTAAACTGAGAGGAGGCCTAACTACACTCTACACTCCGGACATCTTGTAAGCAGGCTCACCTAGAGCCTACCACTCACAGATGCTGTCCTAGTGGAGCTCTAGCGAGCGGAGGCCTCAATAACTCTCTGTAGTGAGAGGAGACCTGACGACACTCACAGAAACGGTCAAGCACTTGGAGCGGAGGCCTCAGCATGACAACTCCCCAACGAGAGGAGGCCTGACTACAATCCACACTCCGGACATCCTGTAAGCAGGCTCACATAGAGCCCACCACTCACAGATACTGTTGTAGCGGAGCTCTGCCGAGCGGAGGCCTCAAAAACTCGTAGCGAGAGGAGAACTAACAACGCTTGCAGTGACCGAAATGAGCGCCCACAAAAGGATCTGGTGCGCCAGCCTGTAAATGGGGCGTTAACACAGACCTCCCTGGTGGTTGATGTAAGAAACCACCACTGTTTTGTCGGTGCACCCAACACACGGTGGCCTCTTAGGTCTGGGAGGAAGTGTTTCAATGCTAGAAGCAAGACCAGCATCTCCAGGCAGTAGATGTGCCACGTGAGATGGCAGCTGCTCCACAGACCGCGGGCTGGGCGGCCACTCATAACTGCACCCAACCGGTGAGGGAGGCATCCGTCATTAGCATACGCAATGACAAGGAGTCCCCTACACCGGGATCTTGAGACAAGAACCAAGGCTTTCTCCACATGTCTAAGGCACGAAAGCATCGCCACATGACCATGATCATGCAAAGTGGGTTGCCCCTCGGGGAAAACCCCTTGGTCTTGAGCCACCACTGTAGGGGTCTCATGAACACCAGGCCAAAAGGTATCCCATTGGACGCAGCTGCCATCAGACCCAGCAGTTTCTGAAACTGCTTGACAGTGAGTGACTGGTCTTCTTTCACTCTCGCGACTGCTATGAGGATCTACTCAATCTGACCAGGAGACAAACATGCCTGCATCGTGATCGAATCCCACACCACGCCCAGATAAGTGGTTCTCTGCAATGGAGAAAGCACACTTTTCTTGACGTTCAGTCTTAACCCCAGCTCTTCCATATGGGTGAAAACGACATCTCGATGCCGAACCACCGTCTGCTCCGATTGAGCCAATATCAACCAATCGTCTATATAATTCAGTATGTGGATGACCTGGAGTCACAGTAGAGCCAGAGCAGCATCCACATACTTGGGGAAAGTGCGGGGTGAGAGTGCAGTAAATGGCCGCAAAAGGAAGAACCCGGTATTGGTAAGCTTCGCCCCCAAAGCAAACCTCAGGAACTTCCCGTGTTGAGGAAGGATGGTAAGCATGCGTCTTTCAGATCCATCGTGCAAACCAGTCCTCAGACCTGATCTGAGACACGACCTGATCTAAAATAGGACGCAATCACCCCTGCAGAGAATCGAGCCTGTAGGAACTCCAGCACTGAACCGACCGGGCAGTGAACTGGGTCGACCTGGCGATCTCCGCACCAAGAAGTGAAAAGTTTCCACTTCAGGGTGTACACCCATCCTTCTTTGGAACAATGAAGTACCGGCTGTATGGTCTCTCTGCGCGAGGAGGGACCACCTCGATGGCCTCCTTCCTCAGGAGAGTGTTTACTTCCTGTTCCATTACCAGAGCCTGCAGTCTGCAGGACCCATTGTGAGACATTTGGCAGAAGTCTCCATGTTGCCAGAAAGTCTACTAAGGAAATCAGTCTCTGGAGACTGACCTCTGGTGTACTTAGAGCGGCTAGGTCAGTGCCCTGAAGCGGAGAACCAGCAGGGGACGGCCGATCTAGCTGCTCTAGAGACCTCCTTGGAGGTAGCAAGCCTCCCAGAACCGCTACGTTTCCGGGCGGAAGCTGAGAGAAGCGCTCGCTGGAGACCGCTGTGCCCTGAAGCATCGTTGGTGGCAGGGTTGACAGACCGATCTCCTGAGGGCACTGAGGAGAGACGGGCACCGTATGATGAGGTGTACACCGCTCTCACACCTGCTCCATGGAGGAAGAGAGGTGTGCTCTGACTTGAATTTATTTTTTTTCCAAGAGCTCACTGCATTTAGAGAGTGAGGGAGGAGAAAGGGTGAAGCCGGTCTCTGGTCCCTACCGAATAATATAAACATATACAGTATATATACATACATATATATTATATTATATATCTAACTTCTCAAAGCCAGATGAATATACATAATTTAATTCCCCAGAATTAAATGCAGCCAAACAACCAGACAAGTAAACACGGTCTGATTATGATAACGATTCAATATAGAGAATTGTGAATAACCGAGTCACTCGATTCTACATTGCATAAGACTTTCTTCCCTCAAGAAGAAACGTCAGGGGGAGCAGAGCTAAACATCCAATGTAATGTTCCTTTTTTTTTTTAGGGACATTTACAAAATGAACACAGCCAGTCCCCTCCAGAGCTGACTGTGCGTGTTATGCTCCAAAACAGACTACACATAAATCGCGTGCATCCCCACCCCTTATTTTAGCGAGGGCAGGGAGAATGAGCGATCCAAAATCAGTCTGCTCATATGCAAACAATATCAAGATAATATCAAAGATAGCTGCAGCAGCGAGCTCTCACTCAAAGGGGAAGAGACCGCAGAGAGAACCCCGAGAGAGAGCGCTAGATCTAGGGAGTGCAGGTGGAGAAAGCGCGAGCCCGTCTCCAACCCGTCCACTAGATCCATGTGCGATCCCCGCGATCTCAATCGCCGCCGTGCCTCAGTAGCAGCGGGACTGGAACCGCAAGATCACAAGCAAGGACACACTCCTCGAAGCGTGCCCGGCGGGAGCGGAGCGTTTGCAGCGGGCAGAAGCACAATCAGCCCCCTCGAGAGCTGACTGTGCGAGCTCCGCTCCCAAACAAACAACACATAAACTGTGTGTATCCCCACCCGTAACTTAACGCGGGCAGGGAGGAACACACAGTCTAAAATGATATCTGATCTCGCATGCTTGTCTTTCGCCTTTGGCATGGCTTATGCTTTTACTGGGACAGACAACAATAAATAGAACTGACACACACAGAGCGCTTCGCTGAATGACAGAAGCTGCTGCTATATCCACTGCACGTGCTTTAAAGCTCCCTGGTCTCTACGTCACCCCGCCCGTGACGTCTCACCCATCCATTGGACAGATTACACACGTGATTCAGAGTGTGGTCAAGCTGAAGGCGTTCCCAAAGCGTCTCGACGCAGCTCGAGTTCCTGAAGGGGAACTTATGTTATTGTGGTTTACTTAAGTTACACATTAATTGTTTAAAGAGGTCATCGGATGCCCATTTTCCACAAGTTGATATGATTATTTAGGGTCTTAATAAAAAGTCTGTAACATAGTTTGGTTAAAATTTCTCAATGGTAGTGTAAAACAACACCGTTTTTACCATCAAAAACAGCTCTGTCTACAGCACACTGTTTTATTGCATTCCGCTTTAAATGCAAATGAGCTCTGCTCACCCCGCCCCTCTCTTCCGAGCCGCTCTCTGAGAGACGGTAAACTTTAGCCACATTCATCGTAAAACTCGCTAACTAGCATATTATTAGGAAAGGCGATTTGCAAAGATTAATTAAAAAACCTTACACTCACTTCTTCTGGAGGTGAAGCTGGATCACGAATGATTTGCGCAAACATAGACGCATTTAAGTAGATCGGGGCGCATTCCCTTCAGAAACAATGTAATCCACTGCGTCTTCAGCTGCTCACATGTCGGGAGTAAATGATGACTGCCATGTTCATTATTACATCCAACAACAGAACACCTTGATCGCTTAGGAGTCATTCTTGTCTACATCTGCTCCGGCGGTGAAACAATGGCGGACTGATGACAGCTCACTCAGGGCGGAGCTAAGGTAAGACACCAGTCCAGTCTGTGCTGAAACGCTACTGTCAATCAAACTATCGTGGGAGGGGCCTGTCTGTGTGACATCACACAGACAGGCATCTGAGATCGGCTCGATTTGAGAAAGGGGAAAACATTTAACCAGATTAAAAAAAACACTGGGTGGATCTTTATCATTATAGGGTGGTTGTGTACACACACTGCCAACACACATTTCAGTTCAAACAGCTTGTAAAAGTGCATGTCGCATCCGATGACCCTTTTAAAGTTAATTGAGCTGTTTGCACTCATCTGAATAAGAAGAGTGTGAGTTTCCTATTCATATGAAGCTATAGGTCCTGAAAATAAAACGGTAGATGAGATTTCATGAAATAGTTTTCTCTTTACCTTGCCAGCATAATGCTGGATCCCGAACCAAAGCTCCACACGCTTGGGTGTCCAGAAGTACTTGTTTCTCAGGTTATCCTGAAACTTATCTATATAACAAACACTGAAGCTGAGTGAAGAATCTTATCAAACTGGCCTCTCATCTTAAGATTAAATAAATTATTAAATACAATGCCACTGTTCAGTTAAAACTGATTTGCTATTAGCATTATTCTTTAAAACGAATGCATGCTGAACATCATGTAAATTATTTTACATGAAGCAGTTGAGCATTACCGACGAGTGTTTGGTCGGTGGCCTGTGGGAAACGGCTCTCCTCATCCAGCAGAGACAGTAAACCCATGGGCTTCTGTAGAAACATGTCCAGAATGGGCCTGTTGTCCTCATATTCCACCAGACTGGCATCAACACCCTCACTTTGATACTCGATCTGAACAAACACACACTTGTTAAAAAATACATGATGATGAAACTACATATAAAGATGTACTTAAGTTCTACTTAAATGGGTCCAAAACAACCTCAACAACAGCAACAACAACAACAACAAAAACCTCTAAAGTTCAGCTAATTGCATTTAATATACATTTTAAATTATAAAACATTTTCATTTGATTGCAGTTAACTAAAATTAGTCAGAAAACATTACATTATATTCTTTTAAAGTATCTTATTTTTTTGTAATAAGCTCTCCTTTTAATAGTATGCTACAGTGTACTTCCTTTTCCCAGTGTGGTAATTATAAAGAAATGCCTTCATTTTGACAAACCCTGCATATCAAAGGTTTCAGCAACACAAGTCTGAATGTGCAAGTGTACTAATTGCTTTTTTTCTGCAAATGAAGTGTACACTAGACACATTGATTTGCTTTGAGAACATTTTAGTTCCATACAAGGTTTGACAATATGATGAATTCTATTAATTAGTAAAACAATTATTTTAAATGTATTTTAAAAGCAAAGCATAAAGAGTAGAAACCGCCATTTAAAAATGTACTCTTTTTAAGTAGACCTAAGTGGACAATTATTTAATAAATACTATTATCTGCAAGTCCAGTTTAAAAAAGCTTTAAATATTTGAAGTACAATACAAGTATGCATTTGATTCAATTAAGTGCATTTCTTTTACACAAGTGGCAGTCTTGAAACCATGTATTTCTTTTTTTGCCATTTAAACTGATGCAGATGTATTCAAGGATAAATAGTGGTGGGTTTAAGATAAACTCAAACTCAGAAAAAGTGCACAGAGAAAGTCCCACCTGTTCCAGGGCAAAGATGTGTTGATTGAAGTAGAACTGGATCTGTTCATTAGCGATGTTGATACACAGCTGCTCAAATGAGTTCTTCTTGAAGTTTTCGAAACCAAAGATGTCCAAAATCCCCACGTTCATTCCACTCTCAGCCGCACTTCAAAGACACGAAGAGCCAAACATTATCCGACCGTCACAACACATTTAGGCCTTAAGCACTCTAATGACCTAAACAACTAAATATTTTATTACCTGTCAACCAAGAAAACACAAAAACAAAGAGCTTTAAAAACACAGGTCTGCGTGAGCGTGTCATTTCAGTTTACGAAAAGCTTGGACCCTCGTCTCTGAACATTCAGTCAGTCGCGATCTCCTCCAAACTCCTCAGACAGCGACCAGGGGTCACCTTCTGCTCCCGCTAACAGGTTATTAGTGGCAATAACGCTGAACGCGCTGCTGATTGGAGTGGAAATGGCAGAATTTCGATGGTGTGTATCGAGGTGGAAGACATGAGTTTCTCTGACAAGCCCATGGCTGATGTCTGACAGGATTCGCTCGGATCAATGAACGGCTTTTCCACTCTCTCTGAAGTCTTTTTAATCATCTGCATATTATTTTTTCAATGTAACTCGGTATCAAACATTTATAAAAAAAAACTATTTTCTTCTCTTGCTGTGGATATTAATATTCTGAGCTTTGTGGTGGTTAGACTGGAGGTCATCGCTGGAGATGATGCTCACGCATGTAAACGCATCCGTAACGGAGAGATTCAAGGAGTGAGACTGGGATGAAAGCTTAGAATTTACCTTGAAGTTATCATTAAATTAACTTGAGGTAAAAGTCAATAAAATAAATATAATATAATAAATAAATAAAAGGCCATGTGATCGCTCACCCAAAAATCACACATTTATCAAACCTGTATGAGTTTCTTTCTTCTGTTGAAAACAAAGGAAGATATTTTGAAGAATGTTGGTAACCAAACAGTTGCTGGTAGCCATTGACTTCCATAGTATTTTTCTTCCTGTTATGGAAGTCAATGGCTACCAGTAACTGATTGGTTATCAACATTCTTCAAAATATCTTCTTTTGTTTGAAACAACTTGAGGGTGAGTAAATGATGACAAAATGTTAATTTTTTGCGCGAACTATCCCTTTTATAACAGTTATTTAAAAATATACTTTTAAGATTCAACATAGGCTACATCAGTGGTTCCCAACCCTGGTCCTGGAGGCACCCCAACATTGCATGTTTTGCATGTCTCCTTAATCAAACACACCTGATTCAGGTCATCAGCTCATCAGTAGAGACTCCAACATTATTGTGTCCCAATTCATAGGCTACGTCCTTCGAAGGACCCATTTGAAGGCCGATTACGTCACGGCAGCGCGACGAAGGCTGTCCCAATTCAAACACCGCATCCTACGAAGGTTGCATTTGAAGGCCGGTTGCATCACAGCGGCGCGACGAGGACCGTCCCAATTCACGATGCATCCTCCGGAGGCTGCATTTGAAGGCCGATTGCGTCACAGAGGCGCGACGAAGGCTGCCGCAATTCGAACGCGACTTCAAATGCATCCTCCGTTTCTCCGGCAAATGAAGGATACATCCGATGGATCCTTCGCAGCCTACCCTATCCCAGAATTCATAGCGCCAGTGAAGACGGGGTTTTTATTCAAACAAAGTGGGTGACGGTTCTGTAGCGGCCGACAAATGCACTTAGTTCTATAAATGTAAGTATTTATTTTTAGTATTGCGTTTGAATGTACTGAAATAGCTTGTTTTTTTTTTTTCACTTGTATTTTTATTTTATTATTATTATTATTGTTGTTATTATTTTAGCGCTGTCATGCAAGATATGTCCGCAAACTTTCTAAGCAAACTTGATGATCCAGAAATATGATTTCTGGAGTATTTTGTATGCATGTCCTGCTGTGTCATATTTTGCAGTCCTGTCTTAATAATTTTCATAAGTCGTTCCTTTTGTCTTGTTTTAGGACAGTTCTGGAGAAAATGGGGCTGTTGGGAAACTTAAAAAAGAAATGAAAGTTGTTCTGTACGTTACTTTTGTGATTTGAGTAGTTATTTGTAAATGAAGTAATTTCTGTGCATTGTTTGTTTTATTTTTGTATTAT